AAACCTCACAATCTACGCCTGGGTCAAGGGTAGATTGGGTACTAAATGTAATGGGATATACATTTAGTGAAAATCCATCTGAAATAGGTTGGAACTGGATGTAGGGGGATTACACTACCCCTAAACCAGGATACATCGTGTGTCACCTTTACATTCTGCACCTAACACTTATTTCAATTGTAACACCCCCAAATTTCCCACCCAAAAATGCATTTAAAGAACGATTTATTCAAAAAGAAATATTGAACTTTTATTCGAAAACATCAGAGTATTACAGCGGAAAAATATTCAGAGGGAAATAGGGGCGTTACCGCCACACTCGGTTCTCTCTTAACCGAGTGCACAGGCTAAAAATACTCAAACTCCAAAATGATTATTTAGATCTTGTAAATTATCTACATTGATTACTACAACTACATTTTCTAGCGGGGACTCTCGAAATCAACAACTTCGTCAAATCATCACCTGTATAAAATTAAGTACAGAAAGAAAAACAAAAGAAAACAAAAATTAGCAACAATGCTAAGTAAGTTCCACCCAACCCCGTAAATAATATAATTTGATACATATATACATACTAACCCCCTTAAAGGATGCTTCGTCCCGAAGCATAATGTTAAAATTTCCTTAGGAAGGTTGTAATCCTATATTCTATATCCAAGAGCAAGCATGCACATAAATCCTATAATTCCTCTCTACACTTTAGTAGTCCTCTCTAGGAAATCACCAAAGGGCAAAGGACATCTTCTAAAATAGTTCAAAATGAATACCAACATAAAAGAAAACAAGAATTCTCACAACCTCACCACGCGCCAAAAATTTTATTTTAGTCCTAGAAGTTTTTCTTATTACATCAGTTCTCACTCACCTTCACAACTGCACAAGAAAAACAGCTTGCTTACTTAAACTGTCCAGTGAACTATCCCAGTTCACTGTGAGTCATCTCCTTGTTATCTGTTCTTCAAAGTGACCTATCTTTGTTAGACTAGTTCTAAAAGTCAGTCAAGTTGTTAGAGTAAAGTTCTTCACTATACTTTAACTAAACAAACAGAATCACATTTCGGCAGCCTGCTCCTAAGGTTTGGCAGTCAGCTCCCAAAGATTTCTGGCAGCCATCTCCTTTAGGTTTCGGAAACCTACTTCCAAAAGTGTTCTATTTCTGGCAAACACATTTGTACAATGTTTAACCTATCTCTCTCACAACTAAAAGGGCCATAACCTTTGTTCTTATACAGTGTCATCCTCTTGAGGTCAAGACTTCCGTTGCATGTATCAATATCTCCCAAAAGATGTTAAACATATCCAGTTAGAGGAAAAGGGGTTCAAAACCGAAATGATTTAAAAGTCTATTCACCCCCCCCCCTCTAGACTTTTACCTCACTTGGAACTCACATTTGGTATCAAGGGCACTCATCAAGTGGTATCAGAGCGGTTGTTCTTAGGGTCAGTTTTTAACTGGCTTATTTTGAACAAAAAGATCAGCCACCAACTTACTGAGCACTTATAGAAGATTGAGATGGAAAACACCATGAAGGATACTTATTATGAAGGAAAAGAAACAAGAAAGGAGACAACAAGCTGTTTTCTACCGGATTCACCACCAAGCAAGGGACTGCCATGCAAAGTTGAAAAGAAGTCAAGCCTACTCTCATGACATCATCATTCTGGTCATCTTCATCAAAGGAAAGATGCTCATGAAGAGGTATATTCAAATACATCTCCAGTACTCAGTTTATCTTGAATGTTCAACCTTTATCCATCTGTGCTTCACTCAAAAGAACATTCAGATAACTTATTCCTTTACCAAATTGAAAATCTTAGGTCTCCAGTAAATCCAAATAGTGTTCGCTAGGAGGATGAAACTGGTGACTAAGGATAATCTTATGAAGGAATAAAAGCTGAGAAATCTCATCTAATTCATCACTAATGAAGATTACAAAACTCGAAGATATTGAATCTGGCTTCACATTTCATGTCTCTAAAACTCCAGAAAATATAACATTCACTGATCTAGATGTTTATCACACCTATCCATACATAGATCAGGGACCAACTATATGTTCCCTCACCACCACATAATCAACCCTGTCCTCACTCCCATACCAAAGAACCTTCCTACTTTAAATCCCAAAGATCAAAGTTCACAACATCTTTTGAGAAGTCAACCACTGCACTAAGGAGGAAAATATACTAGTCACTGTACATATTCTCCACAGAAAATTCATACCCGGACAAATCGATCAAGTATATGACCAAACACTTATCCTATGGTCATCCTGCTTATATGATATTGGGGTCAAAAGGTTCAGAAGAAATTCAATGATATAAAGGGAGAATTCAAGCAGAATAAACACAACTGAAGTCTAATGATTTCATTAATTATCAATTGATACTTATCAACCTTAGATAATATCATGGGATAGTTATGAATATCAAAAGATGGATATTGAGTTTAAACGTTATCACTTGGGATGCTACTGCTCTGAAGAGGAGAAAGAAGATTAAACAAAGAACGGAACATAGAGTGAAACAAAGAAGTCAAGTGTAAATTACAACTGAGCTCTAAGATTGTTAACACAACTTATGTTAATAATCAATGAGCTATCTATTGAGCACACACCAGTCTATGACAAGGAAGACATCTGCCCTCAAAGATGTCATCAAAGATGTGTTCACTGGAAAGAAGGAATTCTCAAAAAAAAAAAGATCGGCAAACTCAAAGTTGTTTGATGAAAAAAATCAGCTGCCTGCTGAACAATCAGCTGCCTGCTGAAATAAACTGCTAGTAAAATTTAAACTCCCTAGAACAACAGGAGCTATTTCCATATGAAAAGACCTTCTTCTCCAGCCTCCAAAGTATAAATGTGTGAATCAGATGATCTGTTCAATCCCAATCAGAGAATACTGTCTCAAAAGAAAGGATTGAACTAGCATCAACTTCATCACACAAGATTGTTAGGATCCTATTGCACTGTAAGTAGATTTTGATGATGTCTACAACAGTGAGATATTTCAAGCAACAAAGAAGGACCTAGCATATCTATTTCTCAAAGCAAGCTCCTGAATGTTGAACAACCTTGAAGAAGGAATGTTCATGCCAGAAGACTAATAGGTATTCCTCATCATCAATTTTTGACATCAACTGGTACTTTCCATTTCAAGTGATATCAATGATCTTAAAGTGGTATCAAATGGTGTCAAAGAATTATCAATTGGTATTCTCAAAATATCAATTGAAGAACATTTAATTGAGGGGGAACTACACTAAAGATCCAGGCAAACAACACGACATTCACCTACTGTTTTGTATAGTCTTGTTTTTACTTAGGAGCACTCTGCTTTCATGCAGTGTCCTAATGAAAATAGGAGCTACCTACTTAACCAGTAGTTTCCTAATTTAGGAGCACCCTGTTAATAAGCTATTTTGGCTAATAACAGTGTCCTAAGAATGTCCATTTCTAAAGTACTAAGTCTTAAAGGACTTAATCATCAACACAGTGGGAATGTTCAAAGCTTCAAGTGGATACAATCTTAATGGAAGATGAGGACTTTTCATATTTGAAGAATGATGGTGAAAGAAAGCTTTTTAGCAAACTATTATGCAAAGATTATGAGCTTCAAGAAATAGTTTGCTAATTGCTACATAATCTTTCAAGAGTTTCTAGGCTTCAGGTGCAACTTAATCTACTCCAATTGATAACGTCCAGAAACCAGATGACTTGACTAACTCTGAGGATCAGGTGGGATTTGTTCAATAAAAACAAATCATTAATGGCAGAGATTGGGCAACGTTCTAAATAACAAAAGGAGACCTTAAAAAAGATAGATTAATTGTATTATGTATTTGTGCTACAAAGTACCAGAAACTCGAGGAAGAAGATATGAAGAAGGATGATTTTGGGTAGGAAAAGCAGCAAGCTGAAATTTTCAGCTAACTCTGATCTCCAGAAAATCAGCTGCCTACCGAAATAACACCTACAAGCCAGCTCCTAAGTTTGTTCGAATTGGAACATTTTTATGTTTCAAAAACAGGAAAATTTCAAGGATTGAGCTATCTGAATTATGGGTATATCTTTGGATATCATGTTCATCAAAGCATCACAGATATTGCCTCTGTTCTAAAAATCGTTCTAGGCGCCCGACTAGTCCCCGCCTAGGTGCTAGGCGGTGGTCGGCCGCCCCGATTTTCGTCTAGGCGCTCCGACTAATTGGTCTGCCATTTAAGTGAATTAGTCAGCCGCCTATGACGCCTAGTTGCCCGCCTAGACCGCCTAATCGGCCGCCTAGGCCGTCTAGATTCGCTGAACATTACTTCACTTTTTTATTTTAATTTTCTAAGCGATATACGTATTTTAGCTTTAGCAATGGATATAAAGAAATGAAGTTGTAAATTAAGATAAAACTATATAGTTTGGATATATACCTAAATTTTATCATTATTTATATTTATGACATAATGAATTTAAGTGATTAGTTATCATATACCACGTATGATTAAATGTGATAATTCTATCATTCATGTTTGTTAATGTATATGTATATATGTATTTTATACACACAAAAATACAATATTACTTATCATATCTATGCAAAATATAGATAAAATGCAATTTATATGTTTCCGACTAGTCTCCGACTAGGCGCCCGCCTAGCCGCCTAGGCGCTAGGCGTTGGGCTGGCGCCCGATTAGCGCATAGCGCCTTTTAGAACATTGGATATTGCTCAAACATTCAAGATCAAAATTGATCGGAAAATTCCTGGAATCTATTATGGAGTGCTTATCCGAAGTTAGCTATACATAAAGAAGACTATCCATATCACATCAAGAGTATATTGACATTCATTAAGGTGTTACATTAATGAGCATAAAAAGGGAATGAAGCAAAATGTAAAGTACAACTGATCAATAAAGCTAAACTCTGACATAAGAGCAACTATCTGAGCAATTCTAAAGTGAGTTTCTCTAACCATTTTTTCTCACTTTTCCATGCTGATTTGTGCTTCGAAAAAGGAGTCCGCCGTAGAAATCATTTAATAAGGGAACAAAACGCTTCGATTAATTCAACAATTGAAAACGCACGAGTACACATCTTGCTATAAAGATTCTTTTCACTCACAAGGATCTCATTCTCAAAAGCTCACAAAACACTTCTTCTTCATCCTCAAACCTCAGAAAAACCATCTTCTTCCTTCAAACATGGAATATACTTCATCACAAAACATATCACTTGAACTAACACTGGCACCTCCAAAACCTTCAAGAACAATGCCATCCAGATCACCAACGGAAAATTTGATTTCCATTGAGGACTCGATTATCCTTAGCAAAGAAAAGAATGAACTCGATCAAGAGCTTTTCAGAGTACCTAAATGGAAGAATTGGAGGATGTCACCAATCAACATTCTCACCCTTACTGCATCCTATATGCAACCAGAAGAACAATTTGCGTTGGGATGGCTGAGAACAAAAAGCATTGAGAAAGCCATCTCAATAGATTATATTAAGAAAATCTACCAGCGCAGATTGAATGAAATCCACCATGCAAATGAGAGAAAAAAGAGGAACGCAACTCTGGGAATCTACCCTGAAGAATCATCTCAGAGGCCTCTCCAAGGATAGATAAAAATATATTTGGGAAAAGGTGTAAATAGGCCCATGTACTAACCAAAAAAGGTCAAATAAGCCCTTATTTAGGAGGTTCTGTCCGGACGTCATCATTTAGGGTGGTTCCCGGTGGAATTTTTTGATGAAATTTTTTTGAGCATCTTATTCATCAAGTCTAGTTTACTCATATCAAATTTCAGCTAAAACTTCAATAGGGAAGGCATTCAAATGAATTTCAACTAAAACTTTTTTAGTGTCACAGAAGCTTTCAGTGACACTAATTTGGTGTCACTATAAGGCATTTTTCTAGTAGTGTTGTTAAGTCCCCTGATTTTGATGAAATAGTTTTGATGATGCCAAACCTCTTTATTCCTGTATTAGACTAGTCTACTACTATGTTCTACTTTGTGTAATTGTAATGTGCTCCATATTTAGTGGATAAAGTACTCATGAAAAGCAAAGAGTACTAAAAAGAGAAGTTAAACGTACCATAAACAAAAGAAAGAAAAAGATCAAAAAGAAGAAAAGGTACGAAAAGAGTTAACTGGTTTAATGGTAAGGAAGGAGCCAACTGGAAAACTCCAGAAATCAGCAGTCAGCTGATTTTCTGGGCAGCCAGCCAAAAGGCTTGGCAGCCAGCTGAAAACTGGGTTTTTTCAGCTAAACTCATATGAAATCCAATTCTCTGTTTGGTCCATTTATACATCCTGATATTGTCCAGCCCGGTTCAAGCTGAGGGGGCGTGTTAAAGTATTCGTCCCACACTGCCAAGCTATAAAACAATAAAACACTATATAAGGTTTTGGACTACTGCTCCCATCAGGTTGAGCTTTTAGGATGGAACCCCAGATCTTTAACAGTTTTAGATCCTATTCATGGTGTGTGGCTTGTTTTGTGGGTTTTTTTTGCTGAACTTTCCTCTATTCTTATAGTATCTGCTCTGTTAAATACCAACATCCTTGACTAGGATAAGTTTTGAACCTGTGACCTCCGCCTTGAGAGTATCACAGTGATGTCATCGAACCACAAGATGCTTGACAATTATATGTCCTTATCTGTCTTTTTACACTCCAACAACTATCTTAAACCGTTAATTTTAAGAAACAGTTGCCGACAACAAGATAACATAACTAGCCAGTGCAAACAACTAAGATAACTAGCTATTGTTGAGCCGCTATCGTAACTAGCTAATAGCTAACAGGTAACAACCGATTGCTAAACAAGACCATTATATCATTGACACAATTTATAAAAGAGATAATAGCCGTAAATAGGACTAAACTAATTCCAAAATGCACAAATAGGACTATGTTATTCATCTTCTCAAGATAGGACTAAAGTATACCCTATATACCTATTATACCCATACCAAAGTAAAACATAAATGTGGGCATATTTTTCTGCCATAAAATCAGCATAAATATTCCGCCATTCGATCAGTGTGATTGAACCAAATTCTATATTCACCAAGGCGTATGGTTCATGATAATAACATTACAACATGATCAAGGATTCTTAGCTTATTTAGTAAAATAATTGAGTAAATGAGGGGTATAATATTATTTTAATTATTATCTAGCTAGGACTATATATATGGAACAAGCATTATACATATTATTGCTAGTAATAAACACGAAAAAAGGGGAATGAAGAAATAAAAGAGTTTAATTAGAGGGGGAGACAAGGGCACATGAGCAGACAATGGCCCATGTCCATGCAGATCATACCACGTGCGGCCTCCTCACACATCACTCATGATTTGACCTCCATCCATCCATGCATGTTCCTCGTACGTGCTGATCATGACCACTCACATCACCGCACATGCATTAGGATTCTCATCGCTGAACATTTCCGGCGGCGGCGGTGGCGGTGGCTGTTCATAGGCCTCACCGTACCCATACATTTCATGATGATGAGCAAACCTGAACGGAGGAGGCGGCTGCTGGTGGTAGTAGTTTGGTGGTGGAGGGTAGTAGTAGTACAACATCTCATTCTTCCTCATCTCTAGCTTTGGGTACTCTTGATCTTGAATGCCCACCGGCACCCCCTCCACCGCCTCGGCAGCCGCGGCCTTCTCCTCCTCTCCCTTCTTTTCGATGTCGTCCCCTTTCTTCTCTCCCTTCTCGCCACCGCCTTCCCCGACCACCTTATCTTCTTTCGAGGTTTCCTCGGTCGCCCCCGCGGCAGCCTCCGCCTTCTCCGGCTCCACCTTCACAACCACCGCCTTTTTTCCTGTCCTCTTTGCTATATAAGACACTAGGCTGTTAGGTGACTCAAACACGCCCTTTACTGTCACCAGTGACGCTGCAAAGTCCGGTTCTGCATTTTCCACGCCTAAAACATGCATGAATCAAGCTCACCATCAATTCAATAGATCGAAGTAGATCATTCCATGAATTGACATCAAAAGAACCCTATATTTTACACTCCTAGCTAGCTACTTCGTACGAAGTATATTATAACAAATTTGAGAACGACATTTTAGAGTTATTTAAAGAGACATTTTCAGCCAAAAAGTATATAGAGTTATTTTGTGATTATTAGTTATTGATTTTGTCCAAATAAAATAAAAAACAAAGCAAAAAAGCTACCTATCATGCATGCCCTACATAAAAAAATAAAAAAAAAAGGAAGATCTGTGGGGAAAACGAGCCAAAGACACCACATGATTATTTGTACGTCCCACCGACAAAAATAAAACTAATTACTAGTATATTTTATTCGGGGTATTTTCTTATGATCCATGTTTCGATGCTTCAATTTTTATAATCTCCACTGTTTCTATAAAATTAAACTCAAAACCTCAGACAATTCAAAGGGGAGACTGAGGAAGAAGTCCTATGCGGAGTATTACCTATATAAAACTATGTTGGTCACTACTTATATACGGAGTAATTGTTAACCGGCTAAATCACTAATTTTGGTGTTTTACAAAATTTGGAGGATTTGATGGAGAGTTTTTTATGTTTCGACATATTATGATAGCTTAAATGATAATTTTCCCACTTTGTATGTTTTACTTCTATCTAAGAATTTTTCTCGGATGTTATGACAACTTTATTTTTTGGTCTTAATATACATTTTTGGTAGAAATCTCGATCTATTATCTATATGTGAGTAAAATCTATTTCAGTAGACATTTCCGTGGATAAACTTACTTGTTACGATCAAATATGATCTGTCTAAAATAAGTCGATCTCAAAGCTAGACACGGCTTTGTTATTAAAAGCAGTGTCTACGGTCATTTTTCAAAATAAAACTTCACCCCATATTTTTGTGAAGGGTAAGATTCATCGTGTAGTAACTTGTGGAGATGACCTGTGGTTAATTTCTTGGAGTGACAAATACGGATTACGGAGTACTCCACTATTTAAGGGTACCCAAAATGTACCCATTTTGTACTCACCTCCCTGAATTGCCTGTGTACACAGACAATTCGTTTGAAAGAGGGCATGACTTTCTGTCCAAATATCTGTGTACACAGATAGTGTACAAATTGGGGTACCCCAAGCTGGACTCATTTAAGGGATACTAGGTGAACCGAAGCAATTCAATTCACGCCATGTCGCCATCCAGATAACCTATTTCCTAATGTAACTAAATTAGAAAAAGGGGAGACCCATCATTTCAACGTGATTCATTCACCATTTTCATCACACCTGAAATCATAGGTAATCAAAGTGAATGAATATCACATGTTACACCCTTCTTAATTGAATTCTACTAAACCCCAACCAGGCAATTTTAAACAAAAAATCTTTTTTTTTAATAAACAAAAAATCTTTTTGTAGAGGTAAATTGTATTCAAACGTCTTAAGTTTTTTGGAAAAATTTCCGAAAATAGGAATAAAAATGATTTGGAGTTCCATATTTAAGGTCTGGTATTGCCACAACAATTACCTCTACTTTGGAATAAAAAGAAAAAAGTCTTACTTTAAAATTTACAAACGTTTTTACTTCTATTTAGGATAATTTGTTAAGCTTTTTACCGACTAAGATAAATACGTAGTAATTAAGTTTTGTTTAAACCTACTGTCCTTTTTTCCAGGAGATTTGCATATTTAGTCACGTAACTTCCGTTGTTTCCATTATTAGTCCGCTAAATTTAGTCACTTGTAAATTTGCTCCTATAATTAATAAATCTTTACCAATTAAGGACTTCCCCTGAAAAGTACACTTTCAGTAAGAATTGTGGAGTGTATTGAAAAAGATGTTGCCATTGCCGGCAATTTTCTACTAATTAAAAAGTTTTTCCTCGTGTAGAAAAGTTTTATAATTGTAAATATTTATTAGTTACAATAGATTATATAATAACAATAACAAGTGAAAGCTGCTTAAAATTATCGCAAATCTCTTTTCATAAGTTCAGTGTATATATTCTCGGCAAACAATGCCACCCTATACAAATGGTGAAATGGAACATACTCCCTCCGTCCCCAAAACAAGTTTCTCATTGCTTTTCGCACATATTAAGGAAATAAATTTAGCGCAAGGTAAATTTACTGTTTTGACACTGTTTGACACTGTTTTGAGAGACTGCCCAAAAAGGAAAGGGAGAACGAGAGTATATAAATAGAGGAGGTAGATGTGTAATAAATACCCTTATACCCCGTAATCCGTATAAATGTAATATGTGTAGACTGAGGTGGCGTGGCCCACTAATAAATTTGACACACATTTTTTAAATGCGCTACCTATAGATATTAGAATGGCATGCATCATTGTTCACTCTATTCATACAGATGCAATGTTTAGTGAAAAAACGTAATCGTCCATTTTTATAAGTTTGGTCACTAGGAAAGTATAGGGCTAAAACGACTAACGAGTGTTATGTTTTTTTCTTAAATAAGAATACGTTATTACTACATATTATATCGAGAATTTATTGACACCGCCTGGCGTCATTTGGGCTTCAAATGTGGCACTACAGTACTTTTTAAACTTAGGCTATGTTTGGCGGGCATAAGTCCCTGATTTCTAGCTTTTGTACTGTTCAAAAAGTTCCTAAAAGCTTCTAGTTGTGTGTTTGACATGACAATATTTAAGAGCTTTTCAAAAATTAAAAGATCTTTTTTGAGATGCTACCGGGAGTAGCATCTAAGAAAAGCCAGTGACTTTTAGTATTAATTAATCCTAACAGCTTGTATATCAAACCGAACTAAATCAAACAGTCAGCTTTTTATCAAACAGCTACCACCTTTTCTTTTTAAGATCTTTTCAGTCACTAAAATCTAACGGCTATTAAAAAGCTCACAAAAGTATCTTTTCAGCTAGTTGTGCCAAACATGCCCTTAGCACTAATGACTCATATTTCTAGATAAAAAAATTCGTTCAAACGTTTTTAATCATATATAGGACACCTTCTTTTGAATAATCCGTTTTTAAAATTTAGAATTTAAACGTATTCGGCTATTCCCCAATTAATTAATTGTGAAATATTAGTATCATTAATGGCCGGCAATGTGTAAAGAGAAAAAGAAGAAGAGGAAAAGAAACACAACCTTTCATCCTCTGGATCCTCCTTTTGATTTCTTGTGCACATGCCTCACAGTGCATGTGAACTTTCAGAACCACAGTGATCACCTGTGGCTGAACACAATTTCATTAAAGTGAGGGCTCAATTAGAAATAATAAAACAACAAAGAATATCCCCCGTTTTTTTTTTATAATTCATCAGCTAAATTTGTAATTGCCAAATAAAGGAAAGAGACCGAATTACATGAGGGAGAAACTAGAAATTAAACTCGAGCACGTAAAAATAAAAAAATAAAAAATTGAGGGGAGAGAGAGAGATTAATGCCATATGCATGATGACTCAAACGAATTGAGGAATCCCACATGAAAAAGAAAACACTTGAAATGACAAAGACGTGATAATTATGATCACCAAAAAGGGGAATGAAATCAATCTAAATTTAGTAAAGCCACCTCCTGTTTTTTCTCCTCGGGCGGATCGGCTTCCTCCGGCGGCTTTTTGGGCTCCTCTGCCGGAGGCGGCGGCGGAATGGGTGAGATAAGCTCAACTTGCCTGTGGCTCTTCTTTTGCACTCTCCCCAACACTTTGATTGGATCTGCCTTTTCTCCTCTCACCACCACCGTATGGGTCTTGCAATCGGTCACCACATCTTCCACTCCTGGCCACAATAATAAATAAATAGTACGGAGTAATAACTATATTTGAATTATAAAAGCAAGTATTGAAAGTGATTTAATGACTTAGGTAGGGAAATTCGCGAAACAGCATAAATAAAGTGTCTTGGGTACTTTAAAAAAAAGGTGTCTGGGATATTCTTTGAATTTTGAGTTATACTAATATAACGAGTAAATTAATTACATCTAGAATCCAAGAAAAATTTCAATAGTTATCATCATGAATAACGTAAATATATTATTATATTATTATAATATTGAAAGAGATATGTTGGAAATTAGCGAGAACTATATTGATATACGTGATGTAACAATATATTTCATATCAGAACGCATTAATTGACGAAAATGACTTGTGCACCGATCGAAAAAAGTATACATTTTCCATTATTCCAAAAACGATTTTCTATGCATTTTTCATAAAAATAACTATTTCTTTATATGTGGCGTCTCCTCTTTACCTACGTCTCAACGCATACAAATTCGAAAGCATAAAATAAACCAAGGAAATTAATATTTAATTTCTTCGGTCGATTCATGTATTTTTAAAAATCAACTAAAGTAGCTATCTTAATTAGCTTCAATTAATAAATTAAATGATGAACTAAACAAAAACAATGAAGTCGAATTAAGTACGTACCATCAAAGCCTTTAAGGCAGCGGCGAACTTTGCGGGCACACCCCTCGCAATGCATGAAGACCTTCAGAACAATTTCCTGTGGCGGCGGCGGCGGCGGCGGGTCTTTGGAATCCTCCGCCGCCGCATCCGTTTTCTTATCGTTGCCGACATCTCCACCAGCGGCCACCGGAGGAGGCTCGTCTCTCTTCTCCTCCGGTTTCTTCACTTCTTCCGGCTGCTTCTTCTCTTCCTACATATATATAAACAAGATTGGATTATTTGATCCAAGATCTCCCGGCCCGGCCAGTTATATATGCATATGAAAGGAAAAAGGCCAAATTAAATGAAGAAACTGGTGCATCTATACCTCCCCCATTTGGACAGATTGAAGAAATGATGAAATGAAGGGGTAGCTAGGTAGGTGATAAGCTTAGATAATATTCAGTGTTTTTTGCTTGAGATGGATTAGCAGAATGCCGGGTTGGGATCGATAGATAGGTATAGATAGTGGAGTCTGATCTGTAGGATTATATATTTTGTCTCGATCTCTCCCGCACCGGACCGGACCGGATTGGACCGGCTCGGACCGGACCTCTCTATCTATGTCTACGAGGAAAAGGTGAATGGCATGGGTGGCCTAACGCATGTCATCATATATCACATGCTTCTTCCTCCCTCTCCCTTAATTTTATGCTTTCAATTCCCTCTATTAACTCACCATGAGCTCAATTGTATTAGATCCTCTGTTCTTTAATTCTTGCAACGTCGTGATTTTTGCACTATTCACAGACCTCACTTTGACCACGATTTTCTACTAATATACATAATTAAATTATTACGTATAAAGTGTTATTGAATTCCTATCAATGTGAATTTCCAAAATATCAACTTTTTATATTGTTTACTAATACATAATTAAATATAATTATAGTCAAAGTTGTGCATTGTCAAACGTGAAAGTCAAGCTGTTGCAAGAATTAAAGAACGGAGGATAGTATCAATTTACATTTGTTTATTCATTATTGGCCAATTATATATTTGACTACATGGATTTCATTGGAATGAAATTTCAGCCACAAAAATTTACTACCTTCGTCCCTTAAAACTTTGCCAAAGTTGACTGACACGGAGAATAATAAAGTAAAAATTGTGTGATTGAGTTTTGTGTAGAGGAGACAGAAACAACGGAAACCACAAAATATTGATTAAAAGGGAAAGTGGCAAAGTTTTTTGGGACGTACCAAAAAAGAAAGATGACAAAGTTTTATGGGACGAAGGGAGTACTACATATGATGGGCCCCATTATCCACATATTGATCTTTATTACATTTGTCTCGCTATCTTTGTCTCATCTTTTCATTTTTGTATAGCTCAGTAAATTTGTTTCACATCATATTTGATCGTTTTTATCAACTAGGTGAACATCATGAAAAACACCATGCACATCGAGGATCCTACATTGGCATTTCAAGCAATTGAAGCCCAAACAAAGCTCCAATCGCAAAATTAAGAACGAAATAATCCATGCCTAGTCATGGACCCGGGCCTGGCCGGTTCCGGTTCCGGGCCGGGCCCGGCCGGGCTTTTTTTTTGGGAAGGAAGGCCCGGGACCGGCCCGGGTAGCCACCGGGTCCGGTCCGGGTCCGGGCCGGGCCGGGCCGGGCCTCCGATTCGGTTATAATTTTTTTTTTTTTTTTTTTGCTTTCCTAACCCCCCCACTCACCCCCACACCCCCCCCAAACCCCCAAACCCCTCCTAACCATCAAGCCCAACTTGGCTAACCCCAAAAAAAGAAAAAAAAATTAAAAAAAAAATCAATTCGGCCCGGGCCTGGGCCCGACCCGGCCGGGCCGGTTCGCCAAATTCAAGGCCCGAGCCCGGACCCGGCCACCCCACCGGGCCTAGGCCCGACCCGGACCCGGACCCGAGAACCGGGCCGGTTCCGGGCTCGCACAGTGGCGGGCCGGGCCGGTCCCGGGCCGGGCGGCCCGAACCGGGTCCATGCCTATCCATGCCCGGTCTCAATTCCGAAATTAAGCGAATAGGATCTCTGAAGGATAGTGGCCCCTAATAAACAAATTGAGTTAGCTTTCACCATAAAACCCTAAGACCACCGGAAAACCAAATTTTCTAGAAATTTCGGTGGGGAAGAAGATTGATGTAGAACAGCAAACACAAACTAACCCTAATCGGAACTTTGGAACGAACAGAGAGCTTGAATACACCAAAAGTTTGAGCGCAGAGAATTTTCTGAAGCGTAAACAGAAGAAAGGCATAAGTTTGTCCTTTTACATGTTTCTAAATTGAGCGGTTGTTTACACGTGTTTGGCTGGGCCTTACCCCGCTATACGACACATTTAATTGCCAAATAATGACCCACAAAGCGCAATGATGGCACTGTTTTTCTTTTTGACATCCGTCATCATGATAGGACATCTGAATAGTTAAAAAGGCGATTCTTCATATTTTGAGCTTCAAAATTCCATCGAATTATGAATCGGATGGAAAATCTCTAAGTCCCACCGACTTCTACATTAAACACTACCTCATCCAAAGAATTACTCTATCACATCGGAAGAGATCATCACTTCAAAGAGAGGGACTCATGATAGAGTATATTCTCATATACCTTAGGGGGTCAAAAGAACATAAGAACAGGCCGGAATGGTCCACCGAGCCCGAGTCTAGGCCAGTACCCTAGCCTGTGAGTTCGTAATACCTTCGTACCAATCTCATAATTGACGAAGGCAACCTTGTTTGGCAGAGTCCGAGCTCATGTCCAAAGCTGAGGCTGTAACACCGTCCCCAAATATATTTACTTTTAAGTAAATAATGTATTGAACCTTATTAAATGGTTAATGAATTTACGAAGTTGTAAATTTTTGTTATTTCTTTCGCGTGAATAGTAAATTGCACGTGGGACCCACATCGGGAGCGGGGGCCACCCAACGTTCCCGAGATCACATATTTTATTCATCTTGGTCAAGATAATATTTATATGGTGGTGGATATTTCATTTGGGTCGTGGAAAGGCCCAGAGTTGACCGATTGGTCAAAAGAGACCCAAATACCGGTATTGGTAATTTAACAGATAACAGCCCGAAAATGAATTTCGGAGACTTCCAAATTAAAGTTTTGGAATATATATTATTTCAAAGGGGCGTTATGATTGAGAGTGAGTAATATATTTTATTTGACCCGATAAAATAAAATATAATTAAAACAGTCCGAAAAATACAACTTTTGGGGCCGATTATACACGTCGGGACATAATGGGATGACCTCCCACATGGGTGGGGGGAACCCCACGTTTTTGTGTGCTCCAATTAACCAAAGACGGATGGATAGACAAGGCAGGGAGCTGAAGAGATAGTATTGACATCTAAAGTACATAGATGACCCCCCTCCCATCACTTATTTGCTAATTAAGACAAAAAGTGAACATCCCCCCTTTCCCCTCATCATTATTTGGCCAAGCTACCCAAGAAAGGAGGAATAAAAAGCTCTCCAACCTTTCTCCATTGCTGCAACTCGAGCTCAAGCAAGAGAGGTCCAAGGAGGGGGATTAAAGAAGGAAAAAAACTAGGAAAAGTGTGTAAAATTAAGGTAAATGACCTTATTATAACTTTTCCTTTATTTTTCTTCTAGCATATGAGGTATATATCATATGAAGGACCCTTAGTATGGTTACACATGTTATAAGTATGGATTTATGGGTTGGAAGGCGGTTCTATGTCCAAGAACGGACTTAGGAGCCAAAACGACCGGTTCGTCGGAAAATAACCTTTTACAGGTTATTTGTACTAATATGGGTTTTATGATTATAAAACCTTGTTAGGCACTTGTGAAAGGCATTTCAATAACTTTCACAAAGTTGAAAGAGTCGCCGGAGTTGTCAATGTTGGGTGTGTTTCGGAAAATAAAGAAAATTAATTAAAATAACTTAATTAAAATGACGAAAGAAAACAGAAATAAGATGGAGCAGAAATCAGTCAAAGCTCGTGCTACGCACGATGTCCTTAAAACGTATTTGTTGCCTCCCACGGTGCTAGGAGCGTTGCAACAATCGTTTCCCAGGATACGATGACTACGAACTAATGTTTGAGCACACAAACAAAAGTTCCAGCGAACGAGAACACAGTATAAACACAGAGAGACTGGAGGTGTTTTAGAGCTGAGAAATGCGTGAGGAATGTGTATTAGCGTGTGTTGTTTCAAACCACCTGTCAGCCTTTATATAGGAGGATTTGTTGTGTGTAAATGGTGAATTAATGGACCTGAACGTTGGACATCAATGACCAGTCCGTTGGGCATTGAATCGTCCATTTAACGCTGCATTAAAAGATAAGAACGTTGGGCATTCAATACAGTATCTCTTGAGAGATAGATTTTTGGACGACATTTGTGTCCGCAGGTCGCCCGCGCACGCAAGTCGCGGTTTTTCTTCTCCGATTTCGGGATTTGATTTGCACCCCCCCCTGCGCGCGTGGAGAGAACATTTACCCTAAGGGATCTTAACTCCTTAAGGGGGGAGTCCCTTAATAAAGGGTTGCAAATCCCTTGGGTTTTCCGGTGTGAGAAATAACACACTAGAAACTCATCCTTTTTCCCAGTTTTCTTATTCTAACGGGTAAACTTCGAGAATCAATTTCTCATTCACCCGTTATCCGTTTTGAGCGTACCATATATCAAATTGTAGCCCTAAGCAAGGACAATCTGAAACCACTTTGACCCGACCCAAATCGGAAGTAGACCCCACTCAAAAAATTTCCCCAAAATTACCATTTAATACAATTTTTCACACATTTTTCCAACAGTCAAAAGTCGGCGGAGTTTCGTCGGAGTTCAACCAAGAGGTGATGGTCCCGGATAGGGTAAAAGTCTAGAGGGGGGGGGGGAATAGACTTTTAAATCTTTTTCAACTTTTTGAAGTTTTTCCCTCTAGATGGATTGATCTATAATCTTGTGATAGATTAATAGATGCACAGCGGAAGTCTTTACCCTTTATGTAATAAGAGTTTGACAACTTTCTAATTTGGGAAGATTGGACTTAGATAGCTAGCAGTTGGTTTGGCAGTTAGCTTGGCAGTTGGCTAGATAGCAGGGAACTGTTGAGGTAACTGCTAGTGGAAAACAGTAGTTTGAAAGAGATGATTATATAGCCTTGTACAGAGTGATGAGGGCTAACTGAACATGTGTAGAGATGGAGAAAATAAGATGTTTTGACTGAGCAGGGGTCTGAGCAGTTAGGTGAACCCAGGAAACTGCTAAGCCGTCTGCTGCGTATGAATGAAATATCTTTGAGGACTGACAAACCACACCTTTTAGTAGTGATATTCAAAGCTAGTGTGAAGCAGTTGTCTCAAGGAAAAGTGAGTTATTAAGCAGTAGGATAAGCAGTAAAGTCAATTAAGACTACTGCTTAGGATGCTGCTGGCAAACTACGATTCTTTTAGTGAGAAGTGTTTGGTGTGTGCTTTGTTGAATGAATGTAGATCAATGACATTCGTGTAATTTCCGTATTTAAAGTTGTACTTTTAATTAGTTTCGAGTGATTGTTACTTTGGAAATTACACACTTTTGGTGTAAATAGTTTAGTTTGTAAAATATCTGTAATATGTTTAGATTAGGTTTATTCTGAGCTCAAACAGGTCCAAATACACTTTGGAGAACATCACCAGTGGAAGGAAGGTGCAAGAATGCAAGAAAAAGGTTGAAGATCTCGTTTTTGGTCTGTACCCGATCGGGTATGACCTATACCCGGTCGGGTACCCTTCTGAAA